GTGTGTGTGTGTTGGCAGGCAGCAGGATGGGAAGGTAAACTAATCCATTCCCAGGCATTGATACGACATGTTCCTTCTCGTTATAGCCTGGGAACGGCAAAGGGGCTACGCAACTATAAAGCAATCATCTCTGAAATGAATAAAGACCCCACCCATGTGAGTGAAAGATGAGTAGACGGCGCTGTGTCGTATGTCAGACAGAGAGACGAGAGGGGGAGGGGGGAGATCATCTCTCTCTATATATCCAACTATTAAGAGTCTCTCTATGACGCAGGCTGGAGATGTAATAGGGCAAGATAAGAATGGATGTAGGTTTTATTTTGATGATTGTGTGTAACGCGACATCAGTGCATCCCATTTGCTCCCACACACACACACACACACACACATACAGAGCTACATACCTCTTTTTTGCATGAAGCTGAAGAGGTCATCCAGAAACTCTTTTCTCTTTGGGTCTCTATCCAGTTCATAAAGCTGTGGAGAGGAAGAGGAGAGAGACAGATGAAGCAACAAGTAATGATTTTATATCTAACAACAACAAAAGAGCACAGAAGAGCTCTGCTGTCACAAAAACAAACATCTGAATCAGTAATGATGCATCGAATAGTGGTCAGAAAATGTCCTCAATGCTCCCACTGTTACTGGAACAACCCGTGCCAGAATGTCTGACAACAAGATGACCACGCTGTGTAAACAAAAACATAAAAACCTGGTCACTTCTATAAAACGACGACACAGACATTCAACGCTAAAGACCTGTCATGAGAAACCAATCAGTTGCCCTCTGATCATGAGAGGAGATGGCAGAGAGAACTTAAAGAAATGTAAAAGACCAGTCGGGCTTGATGAGAACCTCATGTGGGCTCCAGCTCATAGCGGGGCCCCGGGCTCTGGAAAGTTTGGTGAAAGTTAGCAGTAAAAGTTGGGGCGCCCGCTCTGGGGGAGTACAGTGAGGCCATTGAGTGCGTGGTTGTTTTTCCAGCCTAGTTTGCCAGTGTGATAGTGAAATATCTATATATATTGGAGGTCTTTCTATTTTTGTGTCCCCACACTTGATGCTCTCTCAGAGGTGAGTGAAGCAGTGATACAGCTTCTGTATCTTGACTCTTCAGCTGGGTTCACACAGTTATATCTAACCAGCCTTGATTGGGTAAAAAGAAAAAGGTCTTGACACATACCACGCCACACGCAGTATCTACATGTTTCATAATCTTGTTCTTGAAAATGACACACAGTGTACAACCACCATCAAACAAAGTGTTATTACTACACAGACACGGCAACCCTCAGATTGCAAACCAAACCACAACCAACCCTGAGGCCATTAACTGTTTAATAGAAAACTAATCAGTGTTCAGAATTGGTTAATGACAAATATTCTCTGGTCTCAGCTTCTCAATTTTAAGGGGTTGCTGCTTGTTTTTGACAGTACATTGAATATCTTTGGGTTTTGGACTATTGGTCGGACAAACCAAACAACCTGAAGAGATCATCCGGGGCTTCAGGGAAGTCATTTTCTTTACTCTTTTCTGATACGTTACAGACTAAAGAGAGAGAGAGTCTGATGTACAAATGTCCAACACCGAAAAACTGTTAATATGTGCAGCTCAGCATACAAAAAGACTTATATTAGGGCATAACTTGTGACTATTTTCATTATTAATTAGTCTGCTGATTATGTCTTTGATTATTCCTTTGGTCTATAGAAAAGAGCCCATTACAGTTTCTAAGAGACCAAGCTCATCAAAAGTCAAAATCAAAAATTATTCATTTTATAAAAACAGAAAAAAGCAACAAATCCTCACTGGAGAATCTGGAGCCAGATGTTCGACCTTTTTACTTTTAACAGGACTGAAAAATAATTGTTGATCAATTATCTGTCCATCACCTCATTGATTTATTGACTACTTGTTTCAGATACATTCTTTATTTTAAATAATTTCAAGTATGTGTGAGTCTAATCGAAGAAACTGCGAGCTCATTTGACATTACACTAAAATCTGACATACGGAGATTAATCCCAACTTACTAGCTAACCTCCGCCGCCACGTCAATAACTTCCCAAACAGTCAGTAAATATTTCAGTGTTAGCTTTAAGCGCTCGGCCAGAGAGAATGAAAGGCTCGTCCAGCTGAAGTCTGGTATGATGGTGACAGTAGTGGCCTCTAACCACAAACAGACTGTCCCTCATTGTGGCATTCAGCCCTCATTAGTGACACCAAGCTGCCATCAGATCTTATTATGTAGTGGGTGAAGGGGGAACAGAGGGGTGGAGAGACTGAAGAGGGTTGAGGTGGATGGTGCTGTGGGGGGATGCCGGCTAATGTACAGGCCTGCTGGAGGCAAGGGGGAGTTTTAATTACAGGATGCATGCATTTCGTGAAGTGCCGCACCATAAATCTTTGAAATTACTCCCCCCCCCCCCCCCGCGCCGCCCCCCGCCCCAAACGCTCCCATTACCCCCCACGTGCTGTTATGTTGCCCTCTCCCTCTCCCTCTCTCTCTCTCTCTCCTGATCACACAAACAAATATTTGCCTAGTGGCGCGGTGGGAGCGCTGTCACATGGAAACAAGAGGGCTAACACTCAGATCGCAGAGTCCCTCCAGTGCTCCAGATGTGCTGCTCACACATTTTTAATACAAGTATTCTAGTGAGTGAAACATAAAATAATACGTTTTAAATTCTGAACTAACACACGTTTTTATTTTATGACACAAACTAACAGCATAAACAACACAAAAACTACTAGAACTGAGATTGTCAGTCGATCATTGTTCATTTACAGCAATTTAAAGACATGTAACTGCAGTGTTACACTGTTGAAAGACAGTGTGTTGATTAGTTTCACTGTTTCCCTGCCAACTATAGGAGCTTGAGGTCTACAGTGAAGTGTGAACTGTGTTAACACGCTCACAGTATCCCTCTTACCAATACATATCCAGTTTCAAGTCTCATTCAGTATTTGCTGTTAACATGGACACGGTATCCCGCTTGTATCCATGAACATGTAGCTAATAATCTAAATTATTGCAGCTGTTACTTTCTGTTTGCGTCTGCCGCCATGTTTCTAACACTGAATTGTACTTTTGAAGGTTCAACCTAAAAAGATCTGGGATAAATTACAGTATTTAGGACACAGAGATCCCTACTGATGAACATTATTTATAGAACAATTTATTACAATTTGTTACAATTTGTTAAGCAACGTGATTTTAGCCTTCACAGCTTCATACAATCCGATAAGACTAATGTGCATGAACTGCAATATTCTTAAATTATTCTAATTAATACAATACACACCTTTTAAATATAATTCTAGTTACCTCAGCCTGAATAAGTGTACACTCAGAGTAGCATAAACAAATGAAAATGGTTCCAATCAAATTCCTGGAGAGGATTTAAGTCCTAATCGTGACTGTAAAGCAATTTCCGCTGCAATAGCAGACACCTACCGCAATCAGCGTGTTAAATAATGCATGCTCTGTCATCTAAATCTCTTCACGTGTATAGCTGTGAAGAGAACAGCATGAATGAAACGTGCTAAAAGGTAAATCATGTTAGCACCATGACAGAAAGGTTGGGTGTGGAGTTAAATACTGGTAGCAGGCTGTGCTCTGTAGCAAGTAAAGGAAAATACATATTACAAGAGTTCTGCAAGCTGCCTATGAAAGCAGTTTGTCTCATTTAGAGCAACGTCTGTGTAAACATAATCCCTGATGAGTACATCTTAATCAAACACCATCATGAGAAATGAAGGAACTTGTAGAAAATAACAGGCTCTATGCTTTTTAAAAAAGAAGGACAATGAATTAAAATGCACTGAACAGCGTTTGTCCAGTGGCTGCAAATGTACACATCACTCTTTATACAATATATTCACTTTAAAACATGTCAACCTGCGGCTCGGACAGACGCCAGTAATGGACCAGCTGCATTAAGGAGAGCAATAGCTGCTATAGGACTGAAGTTGGAGGCTTCTGCAATCAGGATCCTGTCCAACCAGTAAGACCACTGCCACCCCTCACCCCCCAGTATACATTTTCTTGCAGTCTGCCTATCTCTCTCTCTGTTTTTCCTCTTTGTCTCTTTGTATCTGTCGATCTCTGGCCTTTACACACCTTCTACCTTTCTCTCCATTTGTCCCTCACGTTTCCCGCTCAGTGTCTCTCAGCTCCATGTACCATGCCTCCACTACACACACACACACAC